CCAGTATTTCAGAACCAAGAAAATCTTGATAAAAGTAAAAATTTATTAAATTCACTAGTTTTCGTGGTCCGCTTGACCAATTAATGTCTTCAAATTAATTAAGGTTTTTAGTTGAGATAAAAAAGTCAGTATCACGAGCGGGATTCGAACCCACGATCTTCGGCTAGATACGCCCCTGCTTTACCACTTGAGCAGTCGTGACCTCGATCCACTCGGACACTTCCCATCTCAACCCCACCTTTTGAATTTTCCTTTGGAAAATTGCAAAAAGGAGGGAAAATTCAAAAGGTGGGGTTGAAGAGGAAAGTTGGTGTCCGAGTCGGTCGAAATCACGACAGCTCAAGTGGTAGAGCAGCGCCGTATCTAGGCGAAGATCGTGGGTTCGAATCCCGCTCATGACAGTGCATTTTTTTTGTATACTAAAAACCTTAATTAATTGTAAAAATGTCTCTTTTTCGTGATTTTTTTAATTTTGTTTGCTTAAGATTACAAAAAGACTGTGAGTCTCAAACAATGTCGTGAAAGGTTGAAGTAACATGAAAAGTGAAAAATCTCGGATACAATTGAGATTCAGACTTTGGACATAATGGACTTTTTAGTCAAATTTGACTTGTAGGATAACATCCTGAAGTATTAACGACTCTTCACGGGATAACCTGTTTAAAGTCAGGATTTTTTTTTTTTTTTTTGTGTGTGGGACCCATTTAGTTGAATTAGGGTATTGGATGGAGTACTTGATATTCCTCCACCACCCTTCACACATATGATATACCTAACCTAATTGAAGGTCGATGTGGTATTAAATATTCCTCCAAAGGCCTTCTCACAGTATACATTCACGCTAATAAATACACTGAATATACACTAAAAGAAACACAAAACGAGATGTCTATCAGTATTATTTGCAATAAAATAGCTTTCTCAAAAAAATCGACATAGGGACACTAATTAATGTCGCCTAGGGTTTTTAAATTTATTTTTACAGATCGGATATTAAATTAACGTAACGAATAATTTAACTTACTGTGTATTAATTGTATAAAATTCATTTTTTAAGTGTATATACCAACGAATTTATTAGAGCCTGTATTCTGTATTTGGATGTGGTTTGGATTGTTCAGGAATTTTGTGCTTTCAACAATCTTCTGATAATTCCATTGTCCGACCGGTTTGCTTCGACGTTGTATCGTTTTGTTCCTCGAGAGTTTAGAGAACCAAGGTTTATTATTAAGGAGTCGACAATGGCCCCGTTTCTGCAATCTCCGATGTTTCAATCTCTCACACGGTATTCGCTGATTGGAAAACTTTTCCAAATGGGTGTCACCGATTACGCGACCCCTTTGTCTCCGGCGAAAGCAGGTGACAGCCATTGTAAGTAGCCAAGGCAAGAAGGCGGTTATCTCAGTTTTGGGGGTTGGAGGCATTTGTCACCCCCGGCACCGTCTCATTATTCCGCCTTTCGCTCACGGCGAGAAAAACAGAAAAATTACTCGCCCTGATAGCGCCTCCCTTTCACTCCGCCCCCAAAACAGCGTATTTAAAAAATAATTATCGAGGGAGGCCGACGACAATTAGATGGCGACCTCGTGGCTTCCTTTTCCGGGAGTCAACGTCTCTTCTTAAGTAGTCCTCTTTTATGTCTTTTTTTATGCCTTCCTAAATGCACCCCGGCGCTATTATTTCTACCCTCGAACTCAAACACTTTACGAATAATTTAGTCGTGGAATCACAATGGAAATTGCTTTTTTCTTTTCAAAAATGCATAACCACTTCGTCAGAGCGTAAAGAAAAATCTTATAAGTAAAACACGCAAACATAAAACTCTTGTTGTGGAAGGCTATAGAGAATAAAGCGCCCAAATGTCCGGTAAGGAGCAAGATGGAATATGTTGCTGGAATTGATTCGTTTTCTATATACTAGCGACCCCTTGTAAACTACACTTTTTTTTTAAAGAATTTGAATATTAATTAATTTTAGTAAGTGATATGACAGTTACTCTGTGGTAAAACGGAACTCCTCGGAAAAATGATGGGTCTGGAGGGTCACGAACCTGCTGACTAGGCGGCGAAAACCGGGACATCCCATCCCCCAGACCTGGTCATAGCGATCAGGCCCTCTCGCAGTGAAAAACATGATAACAAAAGATAACAGCGTCAGTTGGCGGGGTCGTCCGAGAGACTTGCGAGTCATGAGCACTATCGATAGATCCCCCCCTTCGATCCGAAGACAAGGAATCGTCCTCAACCGATTGAGGATTGGGCATACACGGTTGACACACGAGCACCTGCTTTTGTACCGGCGCACGTTCGCTTTCTTCAGAGAAAGGTTGCTCAATGTCTCCCACATAATAGAGGCGTGTCGTACCTTCGCTCCATACAGAGAGCGTGTAGGCATGCCGCTGTATTTAAGAACGTTTCTCGAGCACAGCTATCGTTTTCTGGGTACCCTGTTCCTTTTGTTACAGGACATCAGGATGTTTTACTGAACATGGTTATATTGTGTATGTTTTGTCATTATGTGTTTTTGTTTGAACGCGGGGATTTATTAGTGTGAGAGTTGAGGGGTCGATAGCGGAATATTTATAAAAGTACCCTCTCTCCAATCCGAAGACAAGAGAGAGTAACAGAGGCGTGTCGTGCCTTGGCTCCATACAGAGAGCATGTAGGCATGCCGCTGTATTTAAGAACGGTTCTCGAGCACAGCTATCGTTTTCTGGGTCCCCTGTCCGTTTGTTAGAGGACATGACGGTAATAACGTTTGTGTGTAGGTCGATAGTAGGGTCGATAGCGGAATATTTATAAAAGTATCCCCTCCCCAATTTAGATTGGATTATTGATATTGTGTGTAGGTCGATGTAGGAATATCGAGTACCCCACCGTCTATTAGAATGTGTGCAATGCATGAATATATTTATTTGCGGGAGGGAAGTATCCAATTTAATTAGTTCGTGTTAGGTTAGATTACAGATTGCGTGCATTTGGGGCTGAAATAATCTAGCTGTCGCTAGGCCCCCTAGGAGCCTAACGTGGTAGGTAAGCGACGATTGCTGGGCATTTGGCTTAAGGGGGATACTAACGACCCACATAACGTGGTTGATGAACTCCTCGAAGTATTGGTACTAAGGTCAGCACATTGGGGAGCATCCTTAGGGTTGAAAGTTTGAAGAAATGATGTTTGTAGATCGACCTGCAGATAATCAATGTAAAGTTCAAATCTTCTTTAAGGTCTTTACTAGGTGAAAGTAAGACAAAAGTGTTGGGATCACCAAGCTTTGAATAAGTGTTATTAAAGTTCGACCGCCCAAAAATGCATTTATAAAATCTGCTGTATCAAAACATTGTGAAGTCAACAAACCAGTCCCAGATCAGTTTTGATAAAACACATAAAATAGATTAATACTTAATCACAGCTAACGAAGTAGTACATCTTCTTGAGAGACGATGTTCGAAAAGATTACAATCGACAAATAACGAATTAAACTACCCTAGACTGCAGTCATAGACAGGTCATAGACTACAGACTTCCAATGACTGACTGAAACTTAACTGACTTGGAATGCGTCGTATGTAGTCGAAGCATCAAGATGCAGAACAAAAGGCATCCTGAACAGAGTACTGAGACTGATCGCGGGTGGACCATGGTAGATCCGGAATCCTAAACTATTAGCGACCTCAACCTGTTGAGAATGCCGGCAAGGTTCACATATGTCCAGGCAACTTGCAGGAATGATTCAAACAGGCTAGACTTGAGACGTAATTAAAAACTGTTTATTGTGTTTAAACGGTGAGCACTGGATAGCACCCTCCTCAATTGTTATCTGTACTATTATAAGTGCAATACTCTATTTTATTATTATATTGACACTGATTTCCCTTCTATTGTGCCCCAGCATAACTCCCTCGATGTGGTTATAAGGAAAAAGGGTTTAATTAAATAAATTATCCTTTTTAAAGAGTGGCGTCTCTGACTTACTTTTAATGTTATTTAATGTTCAACGCTGTTTTTATGCGGGGGAGGAAAGTTGTTGCCCTGGGTCTTAGGTCACGAAGATGGTGTTCGCTGGAGACCCTCTTCTGACGACGGAATCCTCGGGAAAACTTAATCGCCGAATTCTGACTCTAGATAGGTGACCTATGTCTCTGTACTGATCTATCACTAAGATTCTGACAGTCTGTCAATGATGTGTATGCTACCTGTGATGGATCGTCGATCTTTGCTGATAGGCTGTGTGAAATTTGGTATCACGTATATCCCTGGTCTTTGTGAGATGCCGTGTATGGATATGTGATGGTGACGGATCCCTAATCCTTTTTGGCGAACCTGTGTACGAGACCTGGGATTTGTTGTTAAGGCTGTGTGTGAGAGCTTGGTCCGCGTGGAAACTTTATATTTGCTGAAGAGGATTTCTTCCTCGATATTCCTTCATCAACCTACACATGTATTTTCTAAGTTTATCCTTAATTCTATAAACATAATACAAGTCCATCGTAACAAAGAAAACACGCAATCAGATTAAGCATAATTCTCATATTGGGTGGGTGGCATTCTTACACGCTCTCTATACGGAACCAAGAATGTGCAAACAAGCAAACTTTCTGCAAGCTTGACACAAAAGCGAGCTTTGAACCTAAAGTACATTAAGTGCTCGTGTGTCAACCTGACAAGACCTTCATCCTTCCACGAACTTAGTTTGGTACCATTAAATATTTCCTTTTTTTTAATTGTAAATAGTATGTAGAAACCGACAACGGTTGTTTTGCTTTTTTGTCTTACAAGCTTTAATACGTATAAAATCATCATAATTCAACAATAAATCATAATTCGTATAATTTAAAGAACCACATGAATAATGGCTTGCGTGCTTATGAAGCATTCGTTTTCTAACCCATACATCCGTCAATAAGAGAATCTACTAGATAGTTATTTTACTTTAGACTTAATTTTTCAATATTTATGAAAGTGTTCTCATCTTTTATATCTTGTATTTAATATCGTTTTAGGGTTCGATTCGCAAAATCGTCTGGAGAAGAATTCTGCAATTTGCCACCTTTCTCCCTCCCCGACAGGTACGTAGTTATAGAATAGTTTTGGAAAATTAAATTAAATTGCTATATCTAACTTAAATAATCAATCAAATGGAAGTATACGTAAAATTTACATTGTCATTAAAGGAACCGTTTCATCCCCCAAACTGACAAATTAAGATGGATAACTAAACCAGTCACACCGTTTGTTATGCGATACCAAGAGACCGCCAACGTTTGCAGGAAAAACCGACACTCGAAATCGCTCAATAGATTATTCCGTTTATCTCAAAGAGAAAGAAAGAGGGTGGAGACGATATCTTAAGATGAATTCGTCTGTGGGGTTGGGTGGTAGCCATTTCAGCGGAGCTGCTTCCATGGCAACAGATCACGTGATCGCTGGTGGTATCCCTTTGAACTAACACCTCGTTATCTGCTATGTCGTTACCGGATGATAGTCTAATCGACAACATTTCACTCTCATCCCTTTTCTCGCGACGGTTCCAATTTTCTCAGAAAGCCCTATCAAAAGGATAGATACAGTCTCCTTTTGCCTATTGCCTTCAACAAGAAGACTGATGTCTTGATAAATAAACCACGCTTTATTTGTCTTTTAATGTCAAAAGGATTTACAATTTTTATTTGTTTGTTTAAATTATATTAAATTAATCATTTATGTGCTTTAAAGAGGGATTCTACTTGATCAAACAGCTCTTTCTACCCCTAACGTTGAAAAACCCACTAAAATATTATCCTAAAATTAAGCTAATTTTCTACTCAAAACCTCTTTTTTAATATAAAAACATACTTACATAAATATACATAAATAAACTTGTTACAATAAATTTATTACACCCATAATAAAACATATTACATTCCCATATCAAGTATAATTAAAATTTCTGATAGATTACCCATTTCGTTTATTTGTTGTTACACCTGAGTAAGATTAGCAATAAATAATTTTTTAAAATCAAATTTGTAGCCCCATTTGATATTTTTTTATTTTAGGGATGACGAATGTAGGTAAGGGTAGTTACCACCCTTTGCCTTCGAGTATAACAGACTCCCTTCGAGTGAGCAAATCAGGTAAGGGGCTTTTAATAAATTACAAATTAACACAAAAACTAACAAATTAAATTTTTTTAAAAAGAAATTATTATTTGGTTATAGTCACATTTGAAAAAAAATCCAAATTGTTGTACATGTTGAATTCAAATGAATAACCTCAGTAATATTTTTTCATTACGTAAAACTTAGTTAATATTGTAACAAACATATATTAATATATATGTGATAAATTATGAATATAAGAATTATAATAAAAAAAATTGCTTTAGAATTAATCAAGTGATCGTTGTAAATAAGCCGGTTAATTTTGTCGCGTCTTTTCGACTAGGGATCATCTGTACACGCAACCGACATGGAAAGTGTGATATTATTTACCTTGAAACACCTTGAAACACCTTCAACAATAATAAAAAAGGCAACCTAGCAACCTAAGATCTTTAATAATCAACTGATAACTCTTACCAACCCGATAATATTTAGGCACCAACTGATAACACTTAACTTACCAACGACCCATAAGCTCATCCGATAACCTCTATCAAACCGATGATCCGTAACAGCTGATAACCCTTAGCAACCTGATGATCCTGAGCACCAAGCAAACCGATGATCCTTAGGCATCAACTGTAGCAAACATATGATCCTTAAGCGCCAATTGTAGCAAACAGATGACCCCTAAGCACCAACTGATCCTTAATATACTGACGAACACATGTTTATTGCATAAATAATTGAACAAAAATAAAAATCTCAAGAATGATGATAGTTTTGCATAAGTAGTTAGGTATAAACAGACTATAATTGGAAATTTATACTATTTGAAAACTAATAATATTAAACAATAACAGCAATTTTTAGCTGGTACGTAACAAAATACATATTACAAATATGTGCATATATAGGTGTTTTTTCGATCACAACACTGACACCATGGGCCAACACTGCACCTGTAAGTTTGAAGCAAAGTGACAGGTTGTAGGGGTAGAAAGTGTGTAGAAGTTTTAGAAAAGCAAGTTCATTGACATAAAGAATGATGGGATTGTCGTAGATAGTCTAGTGATATGTTTTTTTTAAGTTAAAAAAATTACTACAATCTGTAATTATTACAATAATATTCAATTTACTCATACGATATGTAATTTGCGGATATATGAACTTATATACAACTAATTACATTGAAGGGAGCAAATAATCATTGTTATCTTCCCTCTTAACTTTATTTATGTTGTTTTACTGTTTACGCAGAAAGGAGGTCGCGGGGCCATTTCCTCTTGAGACGCCTTATGGGGTTGTAGGATGGGTTCTATTGGACAGGGCTTGGGCAAGACTATTTGGATGGTGGGAGAGTTTTTTGTGGAACTTGGTAAATATTTTGGGAATGGATTTTTGGATATAAGGAATTTGAAGGTCATTGTGGAGTGTAGCATTTGAAACATAATAAGGAGCATTTAGAATGGATCTGAGGACTAGATTGAAAGGATTGGAGACGTTGGATATTGGAAGGTTTATCGGTTCCCCACCGTTCTATTCCGTATGTCTAAATCAGTTGTAGTAGCGTTTTGTAAATTGTAAGTTTGTTTTTTGTCGATAGTTTAGACTGTCGTCTTATAAGTCTGTGCAATAGACCATACCGTCTGTTTAGGTTTTGTCGTATGTTAATTCCACGTTAGTTGTGAGTCTAGGTGGAACCCAAGGTAGCGAAGGCATTCGGATTTGGGGATAGGAACGTTCTTGTAGTATATCGTGAGAGGAGGTTTACTTCGGAGCGTAATGTGACATGGGCGCTCTTGCTTTCGTTTATCTTCATTTTCCATTGTCTACACCAATCTGCTGTACATGAGATATGTTCCTGCAGATTTTCCGAATCAACCGTAGGATCGGAATTGGAGGATAGTACAGCTGTGTAGGATGCAAGTAGGTAGGGTGGTAGGTTTAGTGGGAATATCTGCAGTATAAAGGATTGGTCCAAGCACACTGCCCTGCGGTACTCCCGCGGCCACAGAGCAGTATTCTGAGTAATCTGATCCTTGTCGGACCCGAAAGATCCGCTCTGTTAGATAAAAGCGGAGGATTAGGTAAAGAGTATTTGAAAGGACACGCTTTAATTTGTACAGGAGTCCCCTGCGCCACACGCGGTCAAACGCTCCCATACAATATTCTTTGCGCTCGAGAGTGATATTAGTAAGGAGCTTTTACAATTTATCAATGGAACTTTGATTGGAAGAATTGGACGCGCTGGATGTTAGACGTCTTAATTAAATCACGTAGTTTAACTCAGTGTGACCAAATTGGTTCGCAGATATGTCGTGTTTGTTAGTTAATTTCTTTCTCTCTCTCTCTCTCTCTCTTTCTCTCTCTTTCTTTCTACATATCTTTATAACTATCTATCCACTTATTTCTCTCTCGGTCTTACTAATTTTCTCTCTCCCGACCTCTATATTTATCTACTTATCTACTATCTATCTCACTATGATGAATGGTGTTTTGCCGCATGATGCTCACTATATAACTTATTGTAACAGATACGCGAATAACAATTCATCATAAACGATTCAGAAAAAAATAGAATAATAAGTGCTGTAAAATGTGCCGTCTTCTAAAATATTTTGTACAGAAATTTTTAGTTAACAAGTGATTAACGTATTTGTAGTTAAAACTCCATAAAGTAGGTAGTTCTGAAATATAGACTTTACAAAACACACTCAGAGAGAGGGAGAGGGAGAGAGAGAGAGAGAGAGAGTGAGAGTGAGGGTGAGAGAGACATACAAGTTACAGAGGTGGATAATTGAATAACTCTGACCTCCTAGACTAATGGTACTACTATGCTTTCAACCCCTCGTCATTTACCGCCACGTGTTGGCTCTTAGTTAAGCAACACTAATCTCCAGCTTATGTGGACGAGACCAGATCAAATAAAGATTTAAAGGTTTGAGGTTATCATGAGGCCAATTTAATAACAGTGCACATTTTAGAGTTTAGTGTATTTAGTGGATTTTCTGTAGGTAATCAGTTCTTGACTATAATATTGATATTTTTTATTGAAAAATATCTTTTAAATTTTAATGCTTATGCTTGTAATTACTAGGTTCTTCAGTAGATTATAGGTTATGATGAATATATTTTATTTAGCTGATAGACAATCGTTGAAGATTGGAAACGATTAGAAAAGTTGCTACAATGGCATATCCACAATCTTAAGTTTTGAGTGTATATTATGACCATAATGATATGACTGTAAATGTTAATTATTTAAGACTTTTTTCATTTAGTTTTCACTTTAGACAGAAATAGTTCAATAATAATGACTAATTCCGCACCAGTCGCCGTTTTGTGTAGAAGAGCAACAACTGCAAGAAGACTCCAGGGCAGGATTGTTTCCTACAATAGACGGCCCCCTGGGTTCGCCCCTCAGGAAGTACCCTTGACCTAGGCCGCATTGAAGATTATGCACTCAAGTCGTAAAATAAATTACCATGGACTGGCTGTATCGGTGGCTGGTGTAGGCTCGGTGAATCACTACTCCTCCCCGTAATTGTTGAGAGCGCGTGGCAGGAAGTCACCGACGCTGGCATTCATTAGAGATCCGTTGTGACCCCCCCCTTCTTTTGGGGGGCCCTTTTATCGTGCGTTCTCCAGTAGTTAGCTAGGTTTTCAATTTTGTTATCTGATTAGTGAAAACAAATACGATTTTTTTTAAAAAGCCTCCTGCCCCAGAAAGGGCTGGCTTTGTTAAATAACAATTCGCCTAACACAGAAAGGAGTTTTGTATTTACACGATCAACACATATTCATTTTTTGGATAATTTAAATATAAAACGGTTAAAACATACAGATTGACAAAAACAACAAAGATAGGGAAAACCAAATGAAAAGGTTATAAATAGATGGATAGACAGAGAGATAAAGTGGAAAAAACGAGAAAGAGATATAGAAAGAGAGAGAGAGAGAGAGAAAAATGGAGAAAAAGTTAGCTTAATAGAGAGGGAAAGAGTAATGTACAGGTAGAGAGAGAGAGTGCGAGAGAGCGAGAGAGAGAGAGAAAGAGAGAGAGAGAGAAAGAGAGAGAGAGAAAACAACCATGAGATGGTGAGAGAGAGGTTCAGTGAGAACAAATTTTTGATGAAATGGAGGTGATGTTATTAAATAGATTAAATGGGCATATATACATAACACATATACATAACATAAAAAATATACTCATAATATATCAGTACATATATACACATATATAATAAGCAACATAGAATATAATATAATAATAATATAGTAATAACAATGTAATACAAAATAAACAAACAAATTTTGTGTGTGTGTGCGTGCGTGCATGCGTGTGCGTGTGTGTGTGACGGAGAGAGAGAGAGAGAGAGAGAGAGAGAGAGAGAGAGAGAGAGAGAGTGAGAGTGAGAATGAGAGAGATAGTCAGACGGACAAAGACCCAGAGATCGAAAAAAATGACGGTCACTTCGTTAAATAGAATACCTAAGTAACTAGTTTAAAAAGGTAATACAGGAAGGGCGGGTGAGAGAAAAAGCGATAGTAGTAGATAGATAAATATATGGGCATAGAGGGAAAGAGATCGAAAGAGAAACAATATAATTTCCTTATAAATCTGGAATATTATATTGAAAAAATGTGACATAATTTGCCCTCCCGGTCATTCGAGATTGCTTCGTCCTTTTCCTTTTTCCGGCATGAAATTTCCGCCGACTCCGTCTGGAGGGTGTTGAGCTAGGGGTTGTAACGCTAGTTGAGCCACCCTTCCCCAAGATAGCACCAATGTTTCCGCCGGCAAACGGATCGATCAAAGGGGGTGGCATAGTACAACCAACTACCAACAGATACTGCTTCAACCCTCGATCTGTTCTTTTGTTACAAATATATTTTATAGTCAATAATAAATAGAACTAAATATGTATCACAGATATAAATTTTTCAATTCCTGGTCTTTAGCTTTTCTTATCGTTTCTCTTTCATTCAAAATTTTCTCCCAATTAATAGAATAAACATGTTCATTATAA